TCATTTTTGAAAGTCAAGTGTTGCAATTAAAACAACTCCAATAGTCAGCGGACCAAAATTGAAATTTTCTCATTTAACATCATATAGATAAAGCGGTAAGTTGAATTCTAAGTATAGCTTTGCCCAAAAGGCGAATTCATAGCACTAAATATATGAAAATAACACTAGGACAATTTATGTGACGCTAATGTCAAATTGGCCCTTGATATTAATTCAAAAGTCAATGCTTATTTGTCCAAATTCAAGTCTATTTATGGTGCTAGCTTTTATCATAGAAATTCTTTGGCATGAGTCTTGAACATTTAGGATCTTTAATCTTAGAATTGAAACAAAATGATAATGTCTCGCTTTTGAATATAATTTATGCCTATATGGTAAACTAAGAACACTAATTTTTTCCCGTCACCCATTGGCCTAAGCCCTCTGTTGGTTTTACGGCTATGGGGTAGCCTGACGGCGGGCCGACACTACCCTAAAATGCTAAGTAAAAGTTGAGAGAAAATTGACAGAGTAATTACACTTGCATTGAATTTGGAATCCTTACCATGTGACTACAAGGGGTATTTATACAAGATTTATGGGCCTTGGAAAAGGAAAGAAAAAATAAATTAACAAATTTGAGCTTTATGAACATATACTACATTGTAATAGAGTCAGTAGCATTCAAAAAAAAAAAAAAAAACAAATTTGAGCGTTAGAAAAGCTTCCAAACTGCTAAATGAACTTCCTAATATGAAGAAAGAAAATCCCGCGACAAAACTGCAAAGAATCTCCACCACAATCTTCATTCACCGCCTCTGAGCGCGACACGCGGTCGGGGCCCTTCTGACTGCCTAGTTTGGTCGCTCAACCGGGCTCGCCCACAAAACACATGAACAAGTTGGGACTGAGCTGCTAGAGTCTGCCCATCCTCCCACTAAGCAGTCGAACTGTACACTATAACTGCCTATCGACACATCTAACTAGGTACCTTATCAGGGGGTATCCATCACCAACCCCTCCTTCACTTTCTTGAGATCTAGCCAAGCGACGACTCAAGAAAGTAAACCTTCGCCGAAAGTGGCACCCGGGATCCTAAGTACCAACTACATGCTGGGTCTTTCCTTCCCTTATCAATCTTGCAGTGTAGCTAAAATGAGAGCCGCAGCCAGTCGGGCTAGTGCTGAAATCGCCCTAACTTCCAATGGATCCTGGCTGGTTTCGCGATAGGCGCAATCAATAAAGCGTAATGAATATGCCTCCTCATTTACCGTATCTGCGTAGCCGGCCTCCCCTATAAATACCCCTTCAATTTCACCCTTCTCTTTTTTCACTTTGGCTTCCAAGCTTCCCGGCGCTTCTTTCTTCCCTCATTCTCTGGTGACCACAGCTTCACCTTCCAAACATCTTCTCTGTTCCAGTTTCCGATCAGTTTTCGACCATCCTTCCAGCCAACTCCCCTTCTTCATCTTATCTAAGGTTAGTCCCTTCTTCCTTTACTTCAATGTCTTCTTCTCAAACTCCTACCTCTTCTTCTTCTCGTTGTCAAGGCATTACGTCCAACTCGCCAGCCACCACTTCCTAGTTGGCGAACGCGCCGGGACCCACCTCCGCTGTCACTGTCGAACTTCCGCTTGAAAGGGAACCAGGTCGCTTTGAGGACCTGGACTGGCCGGTAGACCGTCACTCCACCCTTTCCAATACTTATTACCATCACGTCCATTGGCTACTCGGCCCAGCGGCGAAAACCCGTGAAGTTGGTAACTGACTGGTTACCGACCCCCCCGGAGGGCGATTTTGTGGGCATGCATTACCAGTCGGTACGCTGCGACTTTCGAGTGCCTGTCGACCCCTTTCATTCTCTCATCCTCCGCTACTATGCCTTAGTTCCTGGTCAGCTTGTACCCAACTCCTACCGCCTTCTTGTCAATTTCCTCACCTATTTCCACCACCTCGAGGAGGAGGTCTCCCTTATTCTCTTCCACCAATTCAATTCTTTCGACTGTCGGTAGTCGGCTTAGCCGCTCCCAGCTATGTACAAAATCGTGCCCGGGACGACCGCTGATTCCTAGACAAGCTTGAGCCCTCCAACAAGGGCTGGAATGAAGAGTTTTTTTGGTCTGACCAGCCACGCTGCATGCGGACTAGTAGTCGTCGTATTACCGCATGCAGAAGAGGCTGCAGTGCCCAGATGCCATGGCGGAGCTAGTCAAGAGGATTATCGAGAGGGACTTGATCTCTGCCAGGAGCTGGTCCCGACTGCGCGTCATGCAGAGGGCGAACATTCTGCCTGCCGGCGCAACCAACACAGGTTTGAATCCCGTTCACCCCTGACTGATTACCCATTGGTTGGTGTACTCACATTTTTCTTCTTGCTTACAAGGGTAAATTCCAAATGATTGAATGATTGGACAAGGTGGTATTTCCGAAGAACTTAGAGTCCATCAAGTCGGCTGACGCCGACAAGCTGCTCGAGATCTCCTTATGACTATCTTCTTTTACTTAGACTCATGTGTGCGTTCACTATGTAGATCATGATGTGCCAACTCACCCTCCGCCAATGTCAAAAAGTCATTTTATCCGAGCTGGAAGTTCTTCACATTGCACTCCAGTAGTATTACATGAAAAAATTATATTAAGTGTTTTGAGTGTATTAATCTTTGTAAGATATCGGCACCTAGTTTTTTTGTGGAGATTGATCATTGGGTGACTAATGACTCATGACTCATTAATGAAGTCAGCGGCTTCTATTTTTAGTGTTATGCTACTCTGCAAAAAAAAGCTATGTGCTTGAAAGCCATAATTGAATCACATCATGTTGATTTGTCTGAAGCAAACAAATTGTAAAATATTTGATGATGATGGCTCCTCATAAGTTGAGAAAATAGATTTTAGAGATCATGAATGGTCTCACCATCTATATATACTTCTTTTTGGCATTTAATCTTCCTAATTTTTGTGCAGTGTGTATGTTTGCCCTATCTGATTTTATATGTTACTCATGGTGAATTGTATATACACTCATCATGTTGCGATAATCTTTAAAATTTTAAAGACCCGAATTCTTTTAAATTATGGCATGAGCGATTGGTTACTTTGGGCTACCATAATGAGTCAGATATTTTGTAAATCTTGTTGGACATTGTGTATATGTCAAACAGTAAAATCCCTTATCCACATGAGTATTTTATAAAGCATGTGTGAAGGAGAAATTACTAAATTATCTTTTTTGGGAATATCAAATTTGATATACTACTGTTTTGAATCTAAATCTAACTCACTGCATATCTTGATTATTCCCCCTATACACCTAGTATGTGGTAGAAATAACATTTCCCCATCTGCGTTTTGGAATTAGTATGTAGTCTATATTCATATGTTACCACCATAGCATACTTCTAGGGGCTATAAAAGAAACTAGGTATACATGTTGGTTATAAACCTCTGTCAGTTGCCTAGAAACTTAGAGCCCATGATAGGGGATCAATATATAATTGTGTAAGCTGACTGCATACTTTATGAAGATCGGTTCACGGCATTAGGGTGAGATATGAGCCCAAATTAATGAAATGTCAAGAAATTTCATGAAATGAAAGGATCTGCATTATTTAAATTTGCGTACTAGTTAGACTGAACTGGAAGTTCAGAAGAAAATCAATTTGCAATAGCAAATAATCTGCCAAATATATCAAAGAGTGACTAGGTCTCATATATATTCCCAAAATTGGACCATATATATTTACTGATGCTCCTTCACGCTAGAAGTATGCGAGACCTATTGGTGTAAAAGATAAGAATCCACGGAAAGCTAAGTCTAGTAAAGAAATATTGTCACTCTTGAAATCTCCTAAAGATTTACATCCTGATGACGAAAAACCCTAGTAAACTTATAGGTATACCAATAATCATAATATCTGGGATGCAGAATGACCATATCTGAATATCTTTGGGAAATTACTAGAATCTGGTTGACTTAGATATTGACATGAACATTTATGAATATGGGATAAATTTAAGATAAAAATATTATAGTTGTCGACAACACAATTGCCTGTATAATTGCTCATATTATAATCTGGATCCAGAGTTAGGCACCAGAAGCGCCCTCATTGTTTAATATATAAAGGAGCAATTAAGGTATAGCTCAACTCGCTAAAATATGTATTCTCTTTATAACATGTATACAATTGAATGTTAACCTTGTAAGTTACAAATGTGTGTTTGTACGAAAGAGAAATAAGAACAATGAGGTGAGGTGATGTGATAAAGCCGAGTTCGGTAGCCTAAGGGTTCACGCAGAGACCCAAAATTGATTTTAGTCAAATACACTCTCCCGCGATAGATGGCATTAAGTTCCGCTACATAATATCATTGACAGAATAATAAATTTAGATATGCAGTTGATGGACGTCATGATCGCATAATTATGGGCCATTAGACGCTAATGTTTATTTCAGAAATTCCTTGATGAATTTATAATTCTCGAAATGAGAAAAGAAATGAAAATCGCAACATGTATTTTGTTAAATTACAAAGGCTTTACTTGACTTGAAGTAGTAAGCAATTGACTAGGAGAGTTCCTCTTGAAGTAGGAATATGTGAATATGAATATGTGCCATTATGTGTTCATGAGGAGTTGCTAATGGTGTTATTTATTAATTATCTCAGTCTATGTTGATGGCATAAATATGATTGGAATGCATAAAGAGCTTGATGATATTATTAGCTCATGCATAAAGACGAAGTTTGAAAAGAGAGACTTGAAAATACCAAGTATTGTCTCGACCTGAAGATCGAGCATATCCTTGAAGGAGTTTTATACACCAGGTAGCCTACATTGAAAAACGTCTTGAAGATGTTTTAGATGGATAAGTATCATTTACTTATCAAGTCAATGGTTTAAAATATATAGAAGCAGATAATGAACCATTTAGACTCGAAGAGGATAATGTGGGTATTTTAGAATCAAAAGTCCATTACTTTGCTATTGGAGCACAATTATAGAACTAGGAGTTCCATAATCGCATCAGATTTGATATTGAAATTGCTAGCAACATTTAGTGTTCCCCTACAATGAAATATTTGAATGGTGTTTAACATATCCTCTAGTATTTTTGACGTTTATGTGAGAAACCAATATATGATTTTTGATGGGCTACTTGGTACTGACTATTTTGTTTGATCCCTATATAATGCCAAGTTCCAAACTGGTTATGATGTCTTAACCCCAATGTCCTATATGTGAACAATAAAACTTGTGTTGCACAAATGATAAATGCATATGTTTAAGAATATTTGACAAAGCATATATAATGTCAAGATGCAACCCACGTGAGCTCTAGAAGAGTCACGAGATTGTTATACAGAATGTTCTCCAAAAGAGTCACGAGATTGTTATACATAATGTTCGCTTTAGTGACAATCTTGAACATTGTATCATATTCCTTTTCTACACTTATCTTGGAACAATGTTTTTATATTAGAACGTGTAGACTTAGAAGATTGTTATCTTCAGGTGGAGTGCCATTTACTTGAATCAATCTTGAAGATTGGGTCTTGAAGATCAATAACTGTATTCTTCTTCCTTTAATTGAGTTTTGATATAATTTTCTTAATTAAAGATGATTTAACGAGGCAACTAGTGCAACACATGAGTGTATACATATCATGTACTCTTTTCATCACTATGTGTTTTTTTTTTTTTTTTGTTCTATTGGGTTTTTCTAGTGAGGTTTTTAACGTGACATGAGTATGATATAGTAATGTCAAAATGAAAAAATTATGAATTAATATTTAAATAGACAAACCCCAAAGTATTGAGGGTGTGTTTGGTTGGTGGTTTTGCCCATAGGAATGGGTATGAAAGTGATTGTTGTTGTTTGGTTGATAGGTTTTTAGAATATTACTATGAGTTTCGAATACCCCATCAATTGAAAAACCCATACCCAAATACAATAAGGGTTTCATTCCCTTATTCATTTTCAAGCACTACTATTAGTAACCATTCCCATTCCACCCTACTACCAAACATGTTAAATACTTTCACCAAAACCCATTACCATTACCAAGTATTTGATACCCATTCCGATTCCGATACCTATGTGCGAACCAAACACACCCTGAATATTATACCCTGAAGGTTTACAGTTGTAATCTTTTTCCCTTAACTAAATTTTGTCCCACAGTGTTTTCTTAAGGTAAGGTTTTAATGAGGCAACCGAAACAACACATGCTTTACTCATATATCATGTACTCTTTTCTCGTCTAGGTTTTTCCCACAGGGTTTTAACGAGTTTTTAACAAGGCATGATTCTATTAAGATAATATCTAAGAGGGAGTGTTTATCATTATTGCTTTCTGTTGCAAAAATTATATTATATATACTGACATACTGTTATCATATGTATTGATCACTGATTATTTTTTAGAATCAGATTATTCTTCTTCTCTCCCTATCTCTTTGTTTTCTCACTTTTCTCTACGTTCTTCATTATTTTACAACAAAATAAACCGTCAAATTCATTAAAAATTTGCGATTAAGACTTTTTATAGATTAAAATCCAATTACATTTAATATGTGACTTAGAAATTTCAGTCGTTATATCATAGACCGCGGTGTACATGCACCGCGGTAAAAAACGGCATCGTTTCTTCAAGTAAAGAAATGGTCTGCTGTTATAGTTAACGGAGTCCGCTTGTTTAGTGTATTAAACACCAACTGACATTACAGTATATCTAAACCGACACTGCAGTTATATCAAAATGATACTGTAGTTATAGTAAAATGAAACTGCAGTGTATATAAAATGAAACTGAATAACATTTCACATATTTGAGTATATATTGTATAATATATTTAAACCGACACTGCAGTTATATCAAAATGATACTGTAGTTATAGTGAAATGAAACTGCAGTGTATATAAAATGAAACTGAATAACATTTCACATATTTGAATGTATATTGTACAATGAAGCTATAATTATATCAAAATGATCATGTAGTTGTGTTTTAATAAAACTATAGTGTATATAAAATAAAATTAAATAACATTTTCACATATGAGTCTATAAATATCGAATTAAACTATAGTTATATCGAAATGAAACTGTAGTTATGTTGAACTGAAACTGCAGTGTATACAAAATGACACTAAATAACAGGGTTACTTTTTGCGAAAGGGTGCGAAACAGCAGAAAACAAACACCGTTTCTTTTCATTTAACAAAAGGATGCGCGGTGCATGATTGATCATGCACCGTGGTGCATGATATAATTTGCCTAGAAATTTCTGTCTAATGTGTCGATGGCATAGACAAAAATACCTACTCCTCACTCTAATACACTCAACAATGGGAAAATAACATATTTCAAGCTCCTTTTCAATTTTCTAACCAACCATGATTGTATATAGGACGACAAAGGAGGAAAGAACTTCCCACATCTAGACCAAGACCTTCCTCATCCTCTCTATTCTCCCATGATTGTGGAGGACAAGTTTTATTTATTTTAAATACAATGGCAATATTATTTTAAAAAAAAAAAACATAAAAATGAAAAGAAGATGCAACTAGTAGTAATTTTTTGGTCATTTTCTTTTAAGTTCATGATTTATTTACTACTATAAAAGAAAAAAAAAATATAAAAACAAAAGTTTGAGGCGTAATTATAATTTTTCAAATAATTTTAAGTAATTATTTGAGCCTATCGTATTTTTAGCAAACCCTAAACAAATTTCATTAACAATTACAAACAAATTCCTACTGCACAAAGAATTCAATCTCCCGAGCCATACAGATTACAGAATCAAATGGGAAGTCTGTCAACTTTTAGATTCCCGCCCATTTCCATTCTCCATGATCGATCCACTAGAGATGCCAATTCTCTGACCATAAATAATAATAATAATAATAATCCAAATGAAAAGAAAAATATTAAGTATACTTTTAGAAAGTATTCCGTTGGAGAGGAAAAAATACAGCCCCTACGATTTTAGGTCAATCAATGCATGCCTCATCATCAATAAAGAGTTTTTAAAAATAGAAAAGAATTACTCAAATGAAAGCTACATTGCCCTGGCATGAAGAAGGAAAGACAACGGCTCTGTTTGGCATACCTAGCTTATAAGCTAGTTTATAGCTGAAAGCTTAAAAGCTAGTAGCTACTAGCTTATTTTGAAACGCTACTTAGCTTTTCAAAACAAGCTATTATTTTAAGCTCTTCATATTTTACCAAACCTAGCTTATAACTTATTTGTGGCTTAAAATAACCTAAGTTCTAAAATAAGGTCTACCAAACATAGAACCTAAGGGATTAATAAACGATGAGAACACACAAGAAACCATCTGCACAAAAAATCTATTAGAAGGCAAAGCACTCACTTGAGGTCATGGCTAACGACGAGTAAAGTTAGCTCTTTCTTTAGAGAGTTCAGCAACTTTACAATGTCTGCACGAGCCTTCCAATCTACATTTCACCATAACCAAATCAATAAATTATGTAAATAATAATAATAATAATAATAATAATAATAATAATAATAATAATAATAATAATAATAATAATAATAATGTTTTATGTGAATTTGAAAAATGTTTTATACCAATAAGACACAAACTTCACATAGTGAAGACACAAGAAAATATTATGCATATTTTTCCTGTGTCAATTAACCTCTTATTACTGTATAACCTGTATTCATCTAAATGATGAGGTGAAGTTTGTCAAGGGTGGAAGTTGAGGGGAATAATATTTCAATAATTGGCTCCTAAGTTTAGTATATATAACTACATAAGATAATAAACATTGCCTCTTAATAAATTACTTTAGTTCAATAGCATTCTTTTTGTATTTCACAAATAGCTGAACACAAGGAAATTACCATTTACCAAGCAGAAAAACTTCAATAAAAAGAAAATTGCGGTTTGAATTCTGAGCTCCACTTTGCATATGAAACATAAATAGGAAATCAATAACCTCTATTTAAATAAATCCCAAAGAGACAACAGAATGAGCATACCAAGGCCAGCAAGAGGCTCATCCAATATCAACAAATCAGGAGTTTGTACCTATGTACAAATGTACAATGACCAATTTCAAATAGTTAGCTTATGGCAACATTAATGCCTAATATATGTGTGTGTGCGTGTGTGTGTGTGTGTGTGTGTAATAGCATCCATATAAAAGCATGCAAGGCATACACTTTAGTAAAAATACACGAAACATTAGCAGGATAGAATAATTCTTACCAACTGAATTGCTAAAGCAAGTCGACGTTTGTAGCCCCCACTTAATGAGTTGGGATCTTTATCCAAAGAGATTCCTGTCAGACCAACCTAAGAGTTCATAATCACAAAAAAGATTTTGTTAAAACAAATATTTACCCTTCTTCCCTGTCCTGCATATTGCAAGGAAATATAAAAAATTAATGAACATGGGGGAAAGAAAGGAAATATGTTATTCCTAGACAACTTAAATACCGAAGTAATAGCCTTTTGGAGTCTCAAAGCAAGAAGCTCTCTCAGATGAAGGCTTCCACTTTGTCTTGGCCAACCAAATGTAACTTCTTCAAGCACATTGTCTGCCACAAAGTATCTAGTCGACATTACAGTAGAACTTCAGCAAAAATGAAATTGCAATAATGGGAGTGAAAAAGAAAGCTTAGTTGAAATTTGAAAGAGACGATAACACATTGCTTACATGATAAGAGATGGTACCAACTCATTAGCATGTTCAGAAATTTACAGAAGTCCAGATCAAGCAAAACACTAGAATAAAATAGAAGCATTGTAGATTGCCCTGGTGTCATTTTAACAAGAAATTGTACCTCTCGGGAAATTGGAAAACAATCCCAACTCTTTCTGGGTTCAAAGGTTCGGGACACTGATATGGTTGGCCATCATCAGTATATCTTTGTATGTGAATGGACCCTGATGTTGGTTTATTCAATCCTGCAATCAGCTGCACAAAGGTGTAAGACCAAAAGGGGCTTACAAGAAAAAAGTAGTACAGAAAAAGAGAAGACAGACAAACTTGCAAGAGAGTAGTCTTTCCACTTCCACTCCGTCCAAATATCAAGCCCAAACTGGAAAAATTCAAGGGAACATTACTTTTCAATATATGTTTTACTAAATCCCAACTTTATTAACATATTAGGTAGCCAATTGGCAAGTAAATGCTACAGTGTGAAGGCATTTTTCATTATAAAATAGAGAGGTAGAACGTCTCAAAGTTATGCAAGATAATTAGATCTTAAGCAGTTATAGTATAGAAAAGTAAAGAAAATAAACAGAGGATTTTTGTTTTTAATTGGGGGTGCAAGGGCGGGGGCGGGGGGGAGGGGTTGTGACATATACTTTGTTTCCTTCATTTTTGCTACTTGTGTGGTGAATTAGGTGATGCAGGGGTTTCAACCCCTAGGCTTTAATCAATTTATCAACATTTAGCAGGATGGAAAAAAACAAGATCATAAAAGGAATCTCTAACATTAATATTTATTAGGTGATGCAGGGGTTTCAACCCCTAGGCTTTAATCAATTTATCAACATTTAGCAGGATGGAAAAAAACAAGATCATAAAAGGAATCTGTAACATTAATATTTATTAGTAATACTAACATTGGTTTGTATAGTTTCAAAATTAAATATTTTTTTATGGTTTCTAGTAGGATTACGATTAATATTTCCATTTTAAATACTCTTGTAGCCTTTGGCATAATCATCCAACTTTCCAATAAACATATATTCTTCTTGAAGCTAGTTGCTTCACTCTCTCTATTCTCTGCCTGTTTCCAAACAGAATTAGGCAATAATGCCTTGGCAAATTTCTTTTCTTTGGATGGATGACACGTTCCATGTTTCTGCCCATGTTGTTGTTAGGTTGTTCAACAAACACATAATATACAGCATGTTTGGAGTACAAGTGAAAGTGTGAAACATAAGGTTGATTGAACAGTGCAATCAACTTGTAAGGTTTTTGATCCAAGCTTAACCAATTGATTGAAGATGGATTGTTCAAAGTAGTTAAAAATGTTCATGTAAACCCAAAAGCAGATAGTACCTTCTTTCCGGAAGGGAGAGATTGACTCTATCCAAGAGGTTGAGCTTCGTCCCAGGAGGCCGATAACTGACATCCCTTATCTCAAAAAAGGGATAAAACAGATATGTAAATACGAGTAATAGATAAGCATCAGATATGAAGCTAAATGATCATTATAAGATTTAAAGCAGAGTAAGGATAAATATGAATTTAAAAAACTACAATCAGCTTAATTCAAGCAAGAATATAGTAGACAGTGGTAAGGAAGTAGCATACTTCAAAACAGGAGTAGTCGCAAGACACAGAGAGAGTTTGCTTCTTTCTGATTCTAAAGCTGAGATTTAAAAGAAAAACAAAAGACAAACTTGAGCTCTTGACTCACAATTGGAAAGTCCAAAATGGGGCATAAAAATGAAATTCAACATTAAAGAAAGCGATAGAGTAGAACTAGCCTAAAGCTGAAGCATGGTTGAGATGAAAAGACAGTTGACAGAGTTGGTCTCAGAATGTACGGATACGGAACTGAAGATGCTGAGGGTAGTGTAGCAGTTCCCAGAAACATTCTCTATTTTTACCTCTTCTTCTATATGTTTCCTAGTTGAAGCATCCCATGCAAGGCACACCCAAAAAACAAAATGCCCAACTGTTAATACACAATTGATGAAGTTGGCAAATGATTTAACCACGTGCTTGCCTTTCTGGTGAGTAAAATTTGTATTTGACACTGAAGTGATGCGCACAGTGGGGAATGAAATACAACTTGAAACATTAAAAATAAATTTCCCGACTTTTCCTCATCAACTTGGTACAATTTCTAGGCAAATCATTCTATACATAAGGAAGTGGTGGAAATTGGCCAGGCCAGGCTAGGCCATAACAACTTAGGCCTGGGCTTGTTATGGTAACCTAACGTTGAGCCTGTAAGTAGGCTCAAGCCTGAGCCTACAATAGGCCATGTCTGGCATGAAGCCTTTTTAAAGTCCTATTTAATAAGCAAGCCATTAAAAAGGCTTCAAAGACAACAACAAAATATGCTTTGAGCTTATTTCAGGTCTACATGTTATAGGCTTTAAGACACTTCAAAGGCCTACGTGTTAGTAAAAAAAATAAAAAGATAAATAAATTTAAGAAAAAAAAAAACAAAAAAAACTAATACTACAACAAATCAACAATAATGCATTTTACCTAACATGTCAAAATGATAACTAGTCCAACGCTTCACATGAAAACCAACCAATAACCACAAATCCATAAATTCCAAAATATAAAAATCTTACAACACAAGTTCAATTGTATTGTTGTTTGTCGTCCTATATAATATCATAAATTAAAGTCTAATACAAATTAATACAAACAACATATAAAAAACTAACAATTAGCTCAAGTATTGAATGAATGGCATGACTTCTCCGGTAAAAGAATACCGTATTTTCCAATTTCCAGCAATCTCAATATTTCACAATATTTTCCTCTATGCACTCCAAGAGCTCTATAGTCACAAGCGACTAAGAAAGCTATGCAATCAAGAGCTGGAATTCACAGAGCTCTAGCAGTCATAAATAAAAAAGCCAAACACCTGACATATGATCTAGAAGTTTGGAACAACACTTTCTTAACCCTAAACTACATATGAGTACCATTTCTTGATCTTTGGTTTGATATTCTCATTCCAAAATCTTGACTTTCCTGAGTTTATCAATTACTAATGATATTGAGACACAAAAACAAATGACAACAAACCAGCACAAACAATTTTCATATAGCAGATTAACAAAATTGAATGGCAGCATTAATTTCGTCTAAACACAATGAAAACAGCAAAATTGAAATACACACAGGCTAATATTGACATCACACCGCCGGAGGCCGCAACCCACAGCCGCAGGTCGCGAGTTGCAATATCCAAAATACAGTAGAAGAATTACAGACTACACGCTCAGAGAAAAGAAAGTAGAAGAGTAGAATACCTACCTCAGCTCAGACGTCCACAGTGCACCGCCGGTATGGCTCACGTCGTCACTCCACGGCTCCACGTTGTACAAGGTCGGGAGAGATGAAAATAGGGAAAGGAGATTAGGAATTTTGACTTTGATTTGGGAATTTAGCCTAGATTTAGGGTTTCAAAATAATAATATAATGGGATGTTTAGCAAATGAGTTCTACTTAGATGTAGTATATAATTTTACTCTCTAAATTTTACTTTGATGGAAATTTGATAAGTTATTTTTTTTTATGTGAATTTCAACACAAAATTTTTACATTAATATTTTGTGTGTAAAAGTACAAATTAAGAATACAAAATAAGGGGGGTGTTAAACAGAGTGAGAGCGCAGTCACTTGGAAGAAACCGCAACATGGATGGTGGAAACTAAATGTTGATGGCTGTTGCAAGGAGGTCAGTAGAAGAGCAGGATGTGGGGGAGTGCTACGGGATTATCAAGGGCGATGGATCGGCGGGGTTACGCATAACATAGGGTATTGCACAGCGGAGGAAGCGGAAGTTTGGGCGGTTCTAGTGGGATGCGCTTGGCCGTTGATCGCCAAGCCCAGAATGTCGTGGTGGAAAGTGACTCTTTGGCAACGATCAAGGGTATCACCGGGTGCATGGCAACGGGCGCCGGGAGCAATGTTATGCGATTATGTGTGAGGGAAGCGCAGGCGTTCCAAGAGATAAAGTTTATCCATGTGAAGAGAAGTGGCAACAAAGTGGCGGACAAGTTAGCAGCAATGGCGCTGGAGCATGAAATTGGGGCGAGGTTCGTTGTTGATCAACCGCGACTTTTAGACGTCTTGATTTGGGAGGATAGGGTAGGGGCTCAGAGTCCTGATGTGAACTCCTAGTAGGATCCTGTAACGGGTTGAACCCCTCTTTTGTAACCAAAATAAGGGTACATGTAGCATTTTCCTTGGCAAATACTCTAGCTAGTTAATATCATGCAATACAAGTTCCAAAGTCATAACTTACCAACTACTTTAACTATTTAGGGAGAAAATCTACTTACATATTCTTGTTTTGTTTTTTTTTTTTTTGTTTTTTTTTTTTTTCTCTCTCGAAGGGACTCACATATTCTTGTTAAAATATGGCATAATGAATTTAAAAAGAAAACATAAATAAAAACAAACAAACAAACAAAAGAATTTGTTGATAGCAAGTCTACTTAAGCTCATTACAAGTGACTAGACTTATCATGAGTCCAGTGGAACCTGCTGGTAAGCTCATTGCAAGCAATAAGACATGCTACGAGTCTAGTAGAATCTGTTTGTAGGCTCGTTGCAAGGTAATTTAGAGGCCTTTTTGAGAAAAAATATTTTTTTTAAAACGTTATTCTCAAACGTTGCTCAAAGTAGTGTTTTGGAACAAAATCCGTACCAAAAGTTATTTAACCAAATACTTTTTTGGTTGATTGAATGACAATTAGGAGGTGAAATAAGAAAGTAACCAGGCAATGTGCAGTACGAGTTCAGTACGTGCACGTTCCGGTCATATATAAGTAGGCAAAATGTATCATAAGTATAATGTAAAAGGAATTGAGACTATAAAAATGAAATACATGTGGTTGTATAACGTAAAAGACATCAACATTATCACGCCACATTGATTAAGACAAATGACTTTAAAAAATAATTAAAATCTTTCCACATGAAAAAATATTAATAATTGACATGCCACATGAAAAAGACAAAGGACAATGTAATGTAAAAGGAACCTAAAATGACTAAGATTGTGTAATCCACTATACTAATAAGAGCCAAAAGAAGTTAGGCCTATAATGGGTAGAAAAAAAAATGTCGATCAAATTATTAAATCAAATGAATGATTTAGATTGTTCAGATTTAAATTTTTCCTTTGCGATTTCCATAAATTTCTACCATACTAATTAGAGCCAAAAGAAGTTAGGCATATAATGTAGGGGTGAGCAAATTATCGGTTAACCGCTAACCGATAACTGAACCGACCGAAAAAATCGATTATCGGTCGGTCACGGTTATCACCTTTAAAAATTTTTTGATTTTTCGATTATCATACAGTTATTGGAGTCGATTATCGGTCGGTGACCGATAACCGACATATATATATATATATATATATATATATATATATATATATATATATATATATATATATATATATTAACAGTAAATAATATACTGTTAAACAGTACGCAGATGTATATGTATTTTAGATTTTAGGATTTAGGAATTTGGAATTTAGGCATCAGCAGTAGTGACTAAACAGTACGCATGTATATGTATTTTAGATTTTGTCTGTTGGAATTTGATTTATCTTGTTTGAATTCGGTTTTTTGGTAACCGATCGAAACCGACGGTCAGTTACGAAGGGCAAAAACTATGGTCGGTTATTCGGTTATTCGGTCGGTTATGTAACCGACCGACTGTTTGCTCACCCCTAATATAATGGGTAGAAAAATGTCTCAAATTATTAAATCAAATGAACGGTTCATATTGTTCAGATTTAAATTTTTCCTTGAGATTTCTAAATGTTTCCTTAATTATATGATTTCAATAAGAAATGTTTTAGGTTCAAACTCCATCACAATCAAAATCTCCTTAAAATTTATATTCTCCATTAACTTACTCATTGCTTTCAATAACAAAGGTCTTAGGTTTGAATCTCATCCCGATCAAAGTTGACATAATTAGTATTCTATTTTACTCTTATTAAATTATTATATTAGTTTTTTTACGGGCTTTGCGCGAATGGGATAATGTCAATGATCATTTTTAAATAAGTACTCCAAAGTATATCAATGCAATATTATATAGGAGATGTTCATGCATAAGTAAATAAATGTTGAATTTGTTTATTTAAATCGGTAATTTAAAGTATATAATAAATGCAAGATGATATATGAGAGATTGGTTATAATTGTTACTAAAATAAATGTTTGTAACTTTGTAATAATGTTAGTCTAAATACTTAGTCTGAAAGCGATAGTTTAAATAAATACTATTTCTGGTTTAAATTTCTCTACTTCTGATTTAAATTTATCTAATATTTCTTAATTCTCTTTTGGGTAGCATTGTCATTGTCTTCATCTTCAGTACATGTCCTTTTTATTTTATTTTATTATTTTTTTTTATTGATAGTGTGTCATGTGCAATTGAGTTACTGATGGTAGCATAGATGGATTCATCATGCAAATGGGATTATGGTGTAGGAAGCTTTAAATTTGCCTTGTCGTGTATATGCATGGATCTTAGTTGTACTATGAACTTGTTCACTTGAGCTAATGAGATGTCAACATTGTCAATTATTTGAAAAATGGTTCTACTGTTTTAGTAGTCCAGATGTAATTATATTTATGATGATTTAAATAAAAAAATAATTTTTTTTTTAAAAATAAAACATATGGTGAGCCGAACGTTCGGCTCCCCTTAGTTTTGTCATTTTTTCCACATCGGTGGAAAAAGTGGCATAGGAGCTTGCCCATTCATTGATGGGCAAGTTGTGAGCCAACTAAATTGGCTCTTGTCATTCAAGGAGGCGAAATGGCTCCACAGAGAGTGTTTTTTTTTTAATTTTTATTTTTAACACAATGTGTGTTTTGAGAAAATTATTCTCCTTAAAGCTAAGTGAAAACGTTGTAAATTGCAGTGTTTGTATTTTTAGTGGTTTGAAACAAGTTATTTCTACGAACGGCTGAATAACCAAACACTTTCTTTACCGATTTGACCTTTGGGTTATATCATATTTATCAACCATCCAAAATCTTTAGGTTACATTATATTTAAAATATTTAAATTTTTACTACTTCCCTCTAAAGTACTTGGTTAATGCACAAAGTGAAATATAATTTAACTCCAATATTAGTATCAATTAAATATTTTTTTTTTAAAAAACACACAATATTATATTTTGAGTATCTTTAGAGTTATTATTGTTATTATCAAGTAAAAAAGTTATGAAAATAAAACAAGAGGTACTATTCAAGAACCTTATACAAATATAATAAATATTAATAGAGTAAATACCCAAAATGGTCCCTCGACTATAGCTAAATTCACAAATTGGTCATCGACTTTTAATTTTAACCAATTAAGTCCTTAACTTTGCAATTTTAACACGATTTGATCCTCCGTCTATTTGACTGTTTGTTGACTGTGATTTTTGAGAATATATATGTAATTTCATGGTCCATCGTCGATTTTTTAAGGTTCCTGTTGCATTTCCAGACCGCACTGTTACATTTGAATCCACTGGCGAAAGCAATCTGCCAAATCTTGTCGCCTTTCTTCATCCCCTCTTTGGATTCGATATAGTTGAGTTTGTACCAGAGCGAAGAGTTAAGAAAAGTGGGGTGTTACACGGGCGATATACTGTGTCACGGCAGCGGATGAGGGCGGGCGGTGGTGAAATTACATATATATCCTCAGAGATCACGGTCAACAAACGATCAAATAGACGGAGGACCAAATCGTGTTGAAATTGCAAAGTTAAGGACTTAATTGGTTAAAATTAAAAGTCGGGGACCAATTTGTGAATTTAGCTATAATTGAGGGACCATTTTGGGTATTTACTCATATTAATATATTATTCGATACTTCCACATGAAACATGTAGGGGAAAAACGTCCTACCACTACAAAATATCAACATGCGCTTGCAAGTTCAAGAGTTCATAGTACAACTAAGGTTCTAGTCATATACACAACAAGAAAAATTCACAGCTAACTACACCATAATCTCATTGCATAACGCTGTCATCTAGGCTACCAACAGTAACCAAATTGCAAATAACACACTACCAACAAAAAAGAAGAGAACAAATAGTGATGATGATGAAGACAATGACAATACTACTCAAAAGAAAATTAAGAATACATAGAAAAATTCAAACCAAAAGTAGTATTTATTTAGACTACCATTTATAGGCTAAGTAGTTAGACTATCAATTTTATAAAGTTGCAAATATTTATTTTAGTGACAATTATAATAAATACTCCGTATCTTATATTATCTTGTATTCATATACTTTGAGTTACATATTTAAATAAACAAATTCGACATTCAATTACTTATGTATGAACTTCTCATATATAATCTTGCATTGATATACTTTTAAAAATTTATTTAATTATAAACATTGGCATTAACTCATTCGCACAATGCGCATGTAAAACTAGTATATGGAGAATGCATATCTAACAATCTTTATAGAAGTCTTTTATTCTTTTTACCAAACACTTACCATGAAGTTAAATTGTTAAGGAGTACTATTTTAAATTTTTCTTGAGATCCTGACTATACTTTTCATTTATAAAAAAATTATTTAAGAAAAACAAATAAAGAAGATACTAAAAGATACTAATAATAACTAGTATTTTCACCCGTACATGCACGGAATGAAATTGTTGTAATATATTAAGAATATTTAAATCGATATATAATTATTTAAGAGTTAATTTCACCAGAGATCGCTTATCTTTCCTGACAATTCCAAATTTAATCCTAGACTATAGTTATTAATTATTACGATTTATTCTATGTTATAATTCTTACGTTAATATTCTTACTATTATTATTAACACTTAATTACTTTAAGATATTATTATTACCACTTATATTATTATTATATTATTATTATTAGTTTCTTTTCAAGTTCTGTTAGTATATAATGGCCGTGAGGCACAAAAATAATATAACCATAATTAAATATTCTTGTATTGTATTCCGTGAGTCACAATAATAATATAACAATAATTAAATATTCTTCAATTCTATATTATTCTAGAATTTCTATTACCATCATTAATTATTCTCTAATTTATCATAATTAAATAATTTGACCAATTATAAAGAGAGATTATTAAATAATGCATGGGACAATATTGTAATTAAAAATTCATTAATAAAACATAAGGTTCTCATAGTTTTTTCTTAGAAACTATTTAATAAATCATTTTGTTTAGAAATTTGTGGGCCAAACCGCCTACGGCTGTTTGCGGTGGATAGATCTCGAAAAAATACGCGATTTTAAAAAAAACATTTGTCCAAAACGGACAACCGAGTCAAAAGTTATGCCTTGCCGAACTTTTGACACTTTACAACTTAAAAAATAATAATAATAATAATCACCGGTTCAGCCGGCGAGGCGGCCGATTCCAGCCTTCCTCGTCGCAGCGAGCGGCGCGATTTTTGCAACACTGATATATAGTATAGATATAGATTAGAATAGGAATAGTATTACACAATTTTATAATATTAGAATAGAATTTTAACCCAGAATTATTGTAGAAATCAATATATTTTATTAGGAAGAGAGATTTTTAGGAATTTGGCGGGAAGTTAAAAGTTCAGGATTTTGTTTTTATATCTAGTATAGATTACAATAGGAATTGTATTACACTATTTTATAATATTATATTAGAATTTTAACCCAGAATTATTGTAGAAATCAATATATTTTATTAGGAAGAGAGATTTTTAGGAATTGGGCAGGAAGTTAAAAGTTCAGGATTTTGTTTTTATATATAGTATAGATTACAATAGGAATTGTATTACACTATTTTATAATCTATACTATATATTATATATATATACTAATAAGAGGCCAAGAGAGTTAGGCCTATAATGGGTAGAAAAAATGGCGGTCAAGTTTTTTAATCAAATGAATGGCTCAGATTGATCAGATTTTAATTTTTTCTTAAGATTTACTAATTTATCCTTAATGAATATGATTATCCGTTAACTTTTCCGTTAAATATTATCTTTTCCGTTAATTTCTGTTAGTTCACCGTTAACTTATTCATTGATTTCAATAGCAATAAATTAGTGTTCCTACTTCACAATACCCTAACAACACGTTTGGTTCACGGAATGAATTTGTAGGGAATAGGAATGCTATTCCACAGAGAATGGAATATGTAAGGAATAGAATAGGAATTGTATTCTGTTGTTTGGTTGGCTGAAGGAGTAGACTTTAATAATTGTATTCCAGTGTTTGGTTGATTAAAGGAATAGAAATGGAATAGGTTTTAAAGATATAAATACCTTTATACAAAATAATAATAATAATAATAATAATAATAATAATAATAATAATGATAATAATGAAAATAATGAATATGATTATGATATACTGAATGTTATATATATATATATATATATATATATATATATATATATATATATATATCTGTGTGTGTGTGTTTGTGAAAGAGAAATAATAATAATAATAATAATAATAATAA